TCGACCTGACTGCTGTCCAGAAGGCCATCATTGACACCCTCAAGCAAGAGGGTAAGACACAGAAAGAAACTGCTGAACGAATAGGCTGTTCCCAGAGTGCTGTATCAAGGCACCTCAGTGGGAAGTCTGTGGGAAGGGAAAAGTGTGGCAGAAAACGCTGCACAACGAGAAGAGGTGACCGGACCCTGAGGAGGATTGTGGAGAAGGGCCGATTCCAGACCTTGGGGGACCTGCGGAAGCAGTGGACTGAGTCTGGAGTAGAAACATCCAGAGCCACCGTGCACAGGCGTGTGCAGGAAATGGGCTACAGGTGCCGCATTCCCCAGGTCAAGCCACTTTTGAACCAGAAACAGCAGCAGAAGCGCCTGACCTGGGCTACAGAGAAGCAGCACTGGACTGTTGCTCAGTGGTCCAAAGTACTTTTTTAGGATGAAAGCAAATGTTTCATGTCATTCAGAAATCAAGGAACCAGAGTCTGGAGAAAGACTGGGGAGAAGGAAATGCCAAATGCCAGAAGTCCAGTGTGAAGCACCCACAGTCAGTGATGGTCTGGGGTGTCATGTCAGCTGCTGGTGTTGGTCCACTGTGTTTTATCAAGGGCAGGGTCAATGCAGCAGCTATCAGGAGATTTTGGAGCACTTCATGCTTCCATCTGCTGAAAAGCTTTATGGAGATGAAGATTTCATTTTTCAGCACGACCTGGCACCTGCTCACAGTGCCAAAACCACTGGTAACTGGTTTACTGACCATGGTATTACTGTGCTCAATTGGCCTGCCAACTCTCCTGACCTGAACCCCATAGAGAACCTGTGGGATATTGTGAAGAGAAAGTTGAGAGAACAAGACCCAACACTCTGGATGAGCTTAAGGCCGCTATCGAAGCATCCTGGGCCTCCATAACACCTCAGCAGTGCCACAGGCTGATTGCCTCCATGCCACGCCGCATTGAAGCAGTCATTCATGCAAAAGGATTCCCGACCAAGTATTGAGTGCATAACTGAACATGATTATTTGAAGGTTGGCGTTTTTTGTATTAAAAACACTTGTCTTTCATTGGTGGGATGAAATATGCTAATTTTTTGGGACAGGCATTTTGGGTTTTCATGAGCTGTATGCCATAATCATCAGTATTAAAACAATTAAAGACCTGAAATATTTCAGTTGGTGTGCAATGAATCTGAAATATATGAAAGTTTCATTTTTATCATTACATTATGGAAAATAATGACCTTTATCACAATATGATAATTTTTTGAGAAGGACCTGTATTTTCTCCAACATGCACTTTATTTTCTCCAACATGCACTGTTGTGATGTTTGATGCTTCCTGGTTTTGTGTAAATTTTGCCTCCGAACCCTTTTATTTAGTATTTTCCTCCATATTTATCATAAGTTTTGTAAAACGGACAGAACCTCTGACTCTGAGACGCTCAGAAAAGAAGAGGTGAAACGTCAGAACCGGTTCTGGTTTCTGGTCCCGTCTCTGTTTTGACTCAGAACTGGTGGGTTTAACAGAACTGAAGTCTGCTTCTGACAGGGTTCTGGTCTCTCCTGACAGCTGGTGAAACCAGCGCAGATTTCCCAGCAGCCCTGTGGTGACGCGGTGATGGCGCTCTGACAGAATGCAGATCCTGGTGGCCAAGCTGCTCGGCCTGCTGGGACTGTTTGGCCTCATGCTGGCCGGCGTCCTGGTCCCAGTTCGTCTCCTGCTGGCCGACAATGCGAAGGCGAACCGGTACAGGCGGGCGCTGGCTCTGTGCAACTCCTTCGGAGGAGGCGTGTTCCTCGCTACGTGCTTCAACGCTCTGCTGCCTGCAGTCAGAGACAAGGTGAACACACACACACACAGGTGTGCACACCTGGACTTCTCTTCACTGGGGGGCCTATGAGCTGCTGGACCTGAAACAACAGTACAACCATGTTTCTGTGTGGGTGCTTCCCCCTGCAGGTGGGCGACGTGTTCCGGCAGCTGCAGCTCAGCGGGGATTATCCTCTGGCGGAGACGATGATGATGGTGGGGTTCTTCCTCACAGTCTTCGTGGAGCAGGCCATCCTCACCTTCAGGAAAGAGAAACCGTCCTTCATCGACCTGGAGACGTTCAACGCCGGCGGCTCGGAGGCCGGTAGCGACTCAGAGTACGACACTCCCTTCATCTCGGACGGAGATGCAGGCCACGCCCACGGGCACCGTCACGGACACTTTGCTCCGGCCGAGCTGGCGGGGGCGGGGCCTCTGCGGCTGGCGGGTCTGGTTCTGGCTCTGTCGGCTCACTCCGTGTTCGAGGGGCTGGCGCTCGGCCTGCAGGTGGACGGCGCCAAGCTGAGCGGCCTCTTCCTGGGCGTGGCCGTGCACGAGACCCTGGCTGCCGTCGCCCTCGGCGTCAGCATGGCCAAGGCGTCGCTCGGCATGAGGGACGCCGCCAAGCTGGGCGTCACGGTCAGCCTGATGATCCCGCTGGGCGCTCTGGTGGGGATGGGCATCGAGTCGGCGCAGACGCTGGCGGGCGGCGTGGTGTCGGTGCTGCTGCAGGGCATGGCCGCCGGAACCTTCCTGTTCATCACCTTCTTCGAGATTCTGTCCCGAGAGCTGGAGGACAAACGGGACCGGCTCCTCAAAGTGCTCTTCCTCATCCTGGGCTACGCCGTGCTCGCTGTGCTGGTCTTTATCAAGTGGTGACAGACAGGAAGTGGACCGGGCCTCAGAACTTCTTCAGATCCAGTTCGAAGCCATTTCTGAAATGGTTTTATTCTGAATTCCATTGTGGTTTATTTGGATGATAATTTATTTTAGTTTCGTCTCGTCAGGATTCAAACGGAGTTTTAACATTTTTATGAAGCGGCTCAGCGTCCTCCGGTTCCTCCAGTTCCTCCGGTTCCTCCGGTTCTGGACAGGATCTCAGAAGGACTTCTGGGTTCAGAGCAGCAGGAGTTTCTGTGTTTTTCTGTTCTGGACGTTAAACTTTGAGCTTCTTCTGTAAATAAACTTCCTGTTTCTGCTTCTTGTGCTGAAGTTGTCCGGAGCTTCAGGGTCCCATCGTCCAGGTTTAAACCATCAGATGTTTTATTCTGCACAGCAAGAACTTCTTTAGTTCCAAACCCAAACAGAACTCCAAATCTAACGTGAGATCCGTGGCTCTATAAAAAAAAAAAGTTTGTATTTTATATTTCTGAGGTTCTTTTCATCTCAGATGTTCTGGAGAAATGAAAAACGCACACCAAAGAAAATCTGGTCTCAGGAGGGTTGAACTGGACTGAGACAGTCCACACGTTTTATTTTAAAGGAGTTCAAACTGTGGCACGGTGGTGCAGTTGAAAGAGCTGTTGCCTCAATGAGAAGGTCACCAGTTCAAATCCCGGCCGGGGGCCTTTCTGGGTGGAGTTTGCATGTTCTCTCCGTGCATGCGTGGGTTTTCTCCCACAAACCAACAACGTGCATGTTGGACTGATTGGTAACTCTTAAATTGTCCCTAAGTGAGAGAGAATGGTTTGTCTGTGTGTCCCTGTGATGGACTGGAGACCTGTCCATGTGTCCTCCACCTCTCGCAGTGACTGCTGGATATGGGCACCAGTGGCACCATGACCCAAACTGCAAGAAGCGGATAAAGATAATGGATGGATGTTCAACAGTAAATAATTTGATGGGGGTGTAAAGCCAGCAGAGAAACCTGATATGGGGTCTGAGATGGTGCAGGGGCAGGGCAGTCGACCCGGGATTGATTGGGTCCAATGCTGACATGTTCCTGTTTTTAGTTTTCTACATTTGTCTTGGAATCTAGCCGGTTTTTTTTTTGTTTTGTTACCTTTTCCTTTTAGCCATCCTATTTGTTAAAAAAAAAAAACCTGCAGTATGACTTTTTATAACTTGTTGTTGTTGTTATACATTGTCGTCATCTTTCTTTGTTAAATCAGGTCTCTCTTGTAAATGAGTCCTCGAGGCTCAATGGGATTTACCTGTAGAAATAAAGGTTGATTGATTGATTGATCTCGGATTGTTGTGGTGTCTCTGAGCAGGACACCCTATCCCCAGTTGCTCCCCTGGCACCTCCAAAGGTCGCCCATCGCTCCGCCTGGTGGTGGATGAGTTAAATGCAGAGCCAATTTCACCATTGTATGGAAACCTTCATGATGACACATAACAAGGTTATTATTGTATTGAATACGGTTTAAAGGTACATGCTCTTATTTTGGTAACTTCCTTGTGAGCAGAAGTATGCCAACGGAAATTAGCTTGACAAGCAAAGAAAACCGACAGGTGAAACCGAATAGAGCTAACGGCAACACGGAGAAGACATCGTGGAAAAAGTTACAAAGCAACTCGAGCTTGAGCCGAGAGGGAACGAGCTCAGATGTTGTTGTTGACACGGACGACTTCAATAAATCATTAGTTCTGGTCTTCTCCATATTGACTGGGTGCCACAAAGGTAACGGAAAAGTTACACGTCTGTTACAATTAAAAGGTGAAACGTAACTGACTTTGCTTTGTCTTCAGTTTTTGACACCAGAATGTTTTTGGGCTCTCGCTTTTACATTCAACCTTTATTTCTCAATTATTAATTAGTTCATCCCATTGAACGTCAGGGACTCACTCACAAGAGAGACCTGGTGTTAACAGAATGATGACAGTAGACGATCGTAAAAGAAAGCAAATTGAGAACAAATAAAAGAAATTGTATTAAAAATGAAAAAAATATATATATTTTAGAGCAGTGTACCGTAATTGCCAGCGTAAAAGCCGCTACTTTTGTCTTAGAGTCTGTGTTTTTTTATTTGTCATTTGCACCTCATGTGGTACATGTGGTGGAACGAAATTATGTTCACAGGGTCCCAGTTACATCCAACAATAAAATGTATAAGAAAAACAGTAATAACATCTAAGATATGAACTAAGAAAAACATCAACTAAACATACACTAAGCACTCATAACATAAAACATTGAACATCAGCACAAACATGAACATGAGTCTGTGAGCAGATGTGCACGAATGAACACGGCAACATGAAACTGATCAGCAGCAACATGAAACAGATCAGCAGCAACATAAAACAGCAGCAACATGAAACAGATCAGCTGCAACATGAAACTGATCAGCAGCAACATGAAACTGATTAGCTGCAACATAAAACAGATCAGCAGCAACATGAAACAGATCAGCAGCAACATGAAACAGATCAGCAGCAACATGATGTGGTTTTTCACAGTGATTATTCTAGTTAGAGATTCGTGAGTCTAACAGCCTCAGGGTAGAAGCTGTTCCTCAGTCTAGTGGTTCTACACTTAATGCTCCTCAACCTCCTTCCTGAGGGGAGTGGGGCAAAAAGTGTGTGTGCTGGGTGAGTGGGGTCCTTCGTGATGCAGGTGGCCCTCTTCCTGCATCTGGAGGTGTAGATGTCTGTGATGGTGGGGAGACTGACTCCAACATCTTCTCACACTTTGGTTCATATGCAGGAGCATCTTATGTATCATTTCATAATTTAAAAAAATTACATTTGTATATTTTATTTGGATAGACTTCCAGCTTTCTCTTGACTTCCTGCTTTCTCTCGACTTCCTGCTTTCTCTCGACTTCCTGCTTTCTCTCGGTAGTTTCCTGCCACTAACATTTTCCTTTGACAGAGCACCTCCACAGCCTCCCTGATCTGGGAGGTGCACCTGAGGAACAGGTGGCCGACAGCAGGTTGTCGTTCTCTTCCCCCCATGAAGCTGATGACCTGCATATCCGAGTGACTTCTCCAGCAGCCACCCAAACCTCTGGCTCTGGTATTTCCCAAACTGGATCTTGCAGTGGGCCAGAACCAGGAAATGGTCAGCAGGACCCGCTCCGTTCTGCTCGACAAAAGCTGTGGCCTCAGCCAGAACCTCCTCCTTACACCGGGTCCTCCCTGCCACCAGTCTCACTCCTGTTTGCCCATGAGGAGTCGACCCTGAGGAGTTGTGCAGAACGAGGGGTGTGCACAATCTGAAGGGAACGAGCACCAACACAACGTTAATGTTATAAATTGTTTGAATTAACAAAACAACTACACTGGACTTTTATTTCACTCAGAGGAATTACACACGAGCAACATTTATTCACTAATGCAGCCGCTGAAGAAGTGCCAACAATTAATGATCAAATGTTGTACAGTCTTAACCTTTTTAGCTCCGTTAGGCTGCACATGCACACACACATGCACACACACTGTCCACATGTAAACTCCACCCAGAAAGGCCCCCGGACCGGGATTTGAACCGGTGACCTTCTCGCTGAGAGGCAGCAGCTCTACCCGTTGCTCCACTGTGCTGCCCATTCATAGAATTATGATCATTCTTTTCCCTGCGATAAAAATGTTGCGCCAACAACAACAATAAACCTGGAATGTGTCAAAGAAGAATCGATGTGTAAACTCGCCGCTCGTCAAAGAGCTCTCGATGAAACGATGATGCTCTTCCTGATGATCCCAGTTTATGAAGTGTCCAGGAGGTGGGACGTGTTTGGTCCACTGGATCATGAGGCGTGCACCGATTGGCCTGACGTCGCTCTACCTTTGGTCTGCTGCAACATTTTTAAGTTCATGTTGAACCCGTTGGTCGTCAGCGCTCTGCTGCGTGCGTTTGTGGATCGTGTCTCAGAACACTCGGTTTTTGAGTTCAGTAAATCAACAGTTGTTGAAAATAATTTCTGCTGGAGGGCAGCACGGTGGTGCAACTGGTAGAGCTGCTGCCTCTCAGCGAGCAGGTCCTTGGTTCAAACCCCGGTCCAGGGGCCTTTCTGGGTGGAGTTTGCATGTTCTCTCCGTGCATGCGTGGGTTTTCTCCGGGTACTCCAGTTTCCTCCCACAGACCATAAACATGCATGTTAGGCTGATTGGTAACTCTAAATTGTCCCTAGGTGTGAGTGAGAGAGTGAATAGTTGTTTGTCTCGTTTGTCTCTATGTGGCCCTGTGATGGACTTGCAACCTGTCCAGGGTGTCCCCCGCCCCTCGCACAGTGATTGCTGGACATGGGCACCAGCGACCCCCGTGACCCAAAATGGAATAAACGGGTAAAGATAATGGATGGATGAATGAATTTCTGCCGGGTGTTTGTGTGAATGTTTGGCCACAGAACTCATCACTTCTTCTCTGACTGACTTAAATTAAGGATCTGGTGGATATTCATTCATTCATTCATTCATTCATTCATTCATTCATTCATTCATTCATTCATTCAGTTTTATTTCTACAGGTTAGTGTCATTGAGTCACGAGGACTCATTTACAACAGAGACCCGTTTCAGACAAAACAATAAAACTGCAGTTAAAATAAAAGCAGTGTTATAAAACACCTGTTGACTTCTATACTGGTGTTCAGACTACGATCATGCTAATTAGCTGTTCCAGTCACCTTGAACTGGACTCGCTCCCAACATGAATGATTCATGACCTTCTCATAGTTTCATTAAAGTTCACCCAGTGGTTCATGAAATATTTTAAACACAACAGACCAATTATTGACAAGTGAGAATACTAATAGAGCAAACTTGATCATATTGGATATGAGTATTGATCGTATAAACATAGTTTACAAATACCAACTGTACTGGTTACCAGTATGGGGGATTAGCTCAAATGGTAGAACGCTCGCTGCGTGCAGGCTTCATCAAAATGTTGGATTGTATACCTGGATTATTGAGCATGGACTTTGTTGTTTTCAACCAGTTTGACACGACTGTCAACAAAGAAGAGGGCCGGCAATGGAGGAGGGGGCGTACCAAAGAGACCATCTTATCACAAGCAGAACTGGTTTGTTCCACTTTGGAGTAAGCTGTTGGGGGAAGAATCAGTTTTGTTGTGTGTTTCCTGGACTGATGAAGCCTTCTGGATCGAAGGCGAAACGTTTCAGCACAAAAAAAGAAACTGTCCAGATGACCTGACTGAAAAGTGTTGGATGCCAGGAGGAGGTCCGCCGTCAACGACACAGTTTGGGTCAGGCAGAACTCATGCATTGCTGTTTCTGCCTTTTAAAGTCTCGCTGGTACATATTCCTCTGATGGAAACTCCAAACAGCCGAATTGATTCACCCTCCGGATGCAAGTAAACACAAAATCCGACCGTGTCAACGCAAATCTTTTCCTCTAATTAACATACCAAAAAAAACCTACGTTTCCCCCCATCGTGTCCGTGTAAAGAGGGCCTAAAGCACCACCTGAGCTCCCCCATTGATGGAGCACAGCCACATGCAGAGCAAGTTCTGGTTCTGACCCAAAGCGCCTGACTGTAGGTGAGGGTCAGAGTGTAACTGGACCGGTAACTCTAACAAAGTTAAGTCAGGTCCTCTGAACGGATTAAAAACTTGTAGAAACATTTCGTCTTTCATCCAAAGGACTTCTTCAGTCTGAGGAATTGCAACAGACTCGGTCTTATAAACAGCACCTTCTCATGGTGGATCAACCGGTTTGTTGTTGACATCCAGAACTAGATGTTCACATGGTCAAGAAGGACCATCAGCCTGACGATGGATCGTTAGCACCTGATGGCCGCTTGTTATTCACAGAGGGCTGAGTGATTCTAGCAATCACAGCATTGTAAGAGGGGGACAGGTGGACACGGAGGCTCCGCCCCTGTTTAATGATGGACAGGTTCTCTTCACAAAGATGGCCTCCTTTACTCCTCTCTCAAGCCAGCGTTCCTCTATGAAGGATGGATGAACTGATTTCCACCCTAATGAGAGGAAGAGGAAGATGCTCGTGTGGGGCGCAACAAGACTTTTAGTCAAACCTGAGAAAAACTCCAGACCTTCAGAAAGTCTGGTCCCTTTGAACCATTACAGGAAAGTCTGGATCTTTGGGGGTTCTGTTGTTTTTAGGTCAGACACGTTACCTGATCATGTTGATGGAGAACTGGTTCTGACTGTCACCATGGAGGGTCTAAACCTGGTCCCGAGTGTCCGGGTGTAGACCAGCTCTGATCTCTGCACGAGACAATTGAGTGGAGGAGTAGACCAGAAACAACAGGTGCCACAACAAAGGTTTTCTTCCAGCTCGGTAAGCCTCTTAGGCGGTAAGTCTTCCTGCAGGGCCTCTGCTCTGATCACTGATTATTTAATCCCTCCGTGGAAGAGGCGAGCCTGTCGGAGGCTCTCGCACGTCTGTCACCGTGCCAGGACCACCCCACAACCTTCCAGGGCATGGAGGACCTTCTGTTGCCGAGCAGAGAGGAAGAGTCCCGCTCCGACCAGAGTTCCTTCGCTCCGGGAGCCGCGGGGAGGACCATGGGGGACCGGGCCAAGTTCTTCCTGGACTCTGTGACGAGGGACCAGTGGAGAAACGTGAGGGACTTCTTCAAGAGGAACGGGCTGTTGACGCTGTCGGTCGTGGCCGTGCTCACCGGGTGCACGTTGGGCTTCATGCTGAGAGGAACTCAGCTGTCCACACAGGTACAGAACCAGCACCCAGGCCAGGCTCGGGGTATCTGTGAGGTTCTGGGGGCTGAAACCTGAATGACTCGGGACCCGTCAGTCTTGGAGGTCTGAAGCTAAAAGCTTAAGAATGACTGAGGTCTGGGGTTCTGCTGCTGTTTTACAGATGGCCTTCAAACACCCTGTTGGAATCCGGTCCTTGTAAAACCAGGAGCAGTCCTGGGACAGTTTTTACTAGTCTGACTGGGGTCCACAGCCACAACCAGACTGAATCAAAACCTCCAGCTTCGTAAAACGTGCAGGTTTTATAACTCGGCCAGTTTGACAGAAGTCTCAGTGTTCTGTTTGGGTCGTTACTGATCCGGTCCCGAGACAAATCAGAACATTTAATCTGGACTCGATGTTTCCTCCTGAGCAGACACACTGTGTCATCTGTGGGAAACGTTTTATAATCCCTTATTTTCTGTCAATCTGGGCTTTATTTTCCACGGATTCAGCTGAAGGTCAGAAGAAGCGTTCAGGACCAATGACTGAAACTCAGAACCGTTGGTCCAGAACCAGCAGGGTCCAGGAGAGAAAAACAGAAACCAGGTCCGGATCAGGAGTTTTAGACCTGGATGGTGAATCAAATGTAGCTTTCTGAGTTTACGAGGTGTACCTGAATGCACCGTGCTTTGTTTATCCCCTCATGTTTCTTTGTTTACGCTTCAGCGCCGGGTCACATGACCAGCGGTCCAAAGGCCTGATCGTGTGAGCGGTGACGAAGTCCCTTAGTTTCATGCCGTGCCCAAGAACCAATGATCCATTACCGTCATGTAAATGACTCTGTTAGCAAAACATCTCATGAACCAGTGGACAGATTTTGATGATTTCCAAAAAATAATGGTAAAACATGATTCAAGATGACCGCCGTAGCAACACAAACATGGCTGTAACTTGTACGTTCTGAGCTAATCGCTCGTTAAACTGAACAAACGTGAAGTCCGAAGTTCAGCTGAAGAACGAAATGTTGGTTTTATTGTTTTATTTTATGTAACGTCTGCTTGTTGGGTCCGAACAGTTCCGTCAGACGGTCAGGCGTACTTCCTGTAAGAACTGAACCAGGTCCAACTCCAGAATGCCGGTCCCGGTTCTCTTCAGGATGTTGTTTGTTTTGACTAAAAGTCGTTTTCTTGTGTCCTCACAGGCTAAAATCTACTTCTCGTTTCCGGGAGAGCTGCTGATGAGGATGCTGAAGATGCTCATCCTTCCTCTCATCACCTCCAGGTACCAGGAGCGAGGAGCAGAACTTTGGTTCTGGTTCCATCAGTTCTTTGCTTCGAGAAGCCTCTGATCGCTGCAGGATCGAGACTTCCCTCAGGTTTCCCTCTGAAAGACGGGCCGTGATGTTTTTACCTCTGTCTGCTTGTTAGCAAAATATCTCGAGGCTACAACGACGTCACAGTTAGAGCTTGGAGAGTGTTTCAGGATGACCGTCAGCTACTACCACCCATCTGTTAAACAGGCTGAGGTACAGCTGGGGTTCTGTTGGGTGACGTTGATTAGCTGCGGCAGCCATCTTATCTAAAACTGAACCAACCAGAACCATGTGAGGGCCTCCACCGCCGTGCTGCAGTGCATTCTGGGTAACCACCTGTCCATTGATCTGGTTCTGACCCAGAAGTCTTTTGGTTCCTTCAGATGAACCTTAGTGGAGCTGCCCTGTTGTTTTTTTAGAGAGAAGACCATGACCTTTGACCTTTGACCTGCTGACTGACGGGTGTGGAGTCGAGGTGGAGAACAGCTCTTCTGTGTTTACGTTCAGTTTTTATGTACAAGTCCTTGTCCTTGCTGAGTTCTGGTGCTCTGTTCTGGTCCAGTTTGATGTCGGGCCTGTCGTCGATGGAGTCCAAGGCGTGCTGCAGGATGGGTGTCCTCACTGTCACCTACTACCTGTGGACCACCTTCATCGCTGTGGTGGTGGGCATCGTGCTCGTCCTCATCATCAAACCTGGCGTGGGGACGGAGATGGACAGCAACCGTCTGGGCGGCGGACCCGTCATGACGTCGGCGGACGCCCTGCTCGACCTGATCAGGTGAGAGAGGTCAGAGGTCACCTGTCGGACTGATGGTTGATCTAGACTCTGCGTTACCCATGAGCCTCTGCTGCTCAGTGAACGCTGAGTCAGCTTTTCTCGTTTTTAAATTTCCTGTATGTTTTGATTGTCTTCTTCAGACTTTGTGCCGTTTCAGCCGTTTGAACCTCCAAACGTTCGGCTCTTTCAGCTGATGAGTGCTGAGACTTTAAGTTTTAGTAAATGTTGTACTTTTCAAAATGTTTCTTTATTTACTAATATTTTCCTCAAAATCTCTTTCATTTATTCCAAAACGATCTCGTCGAAATCCTCTTCAGCTGTTGTTGCCGTCTTTGGATGCTTTCAGCTTCTAGCTAACGTTGCTAATGCTACGTTTAGCTTGATGGTCCATCTCCTGCTCTCTGGTACCGTCACAAGACTCCCAGATACTGGACCTCCTTCGATGGAGGCGGACTCAGTTTCCATAAACCAGACCCCCTCCTCCCCAAAGACCACCAACAGGCTCAGATACCCGGGACAACCCCGGAGGAGTCCAACCCAAGAACAGGAACGTAGACACAGTTCTTGTTTTGGTTCTACAAGGACCGGATAGTCCATAAAGATGACCCGACTCCTCCACAGAACACCTCAGGGCAAACCGGGTTAAATTTACCTTCTGGACTAAAGACGACTCGTTGGACATGTTCAATGTGAATGAGTCCGCAGAACGTTCTGCTCTGGTCCTTTCACACAAAACGGGTCGGTACCGATGGCCCGGCAGTCAACAAGTTGCAGAACTTTCTCTCACTCATCAATCCCATTAGAGTTGGGGCTGATGGAGGTATTTTTAGTAATCCTGCAGGATGAGTGACAGATTAACCGAGTCACTGATCTCTGCTGCAGCACGTTGGCAGACTCTCGTGCGTCTTTGGACCGGGCTGCACGAGCGACACGTCGTCATCCTGGTGACCTTTGACCCCTCAGCGGCTGCAGTTCTCCACGAGTGCTGGTGCTGGTTCTGAGCTCTGGGCGGCTGGTGGAAAGGTTGATTACCTGGTTACCATGGCAGCAGTCAGTGGGCGGAGTCTATCGGGAAGCCGGTGTATTTTTTGTCTGTGAAGTGGTTGAAGTAGAGGATTGAATCGACTTGGACCAGAACCAAACTCGTGATGGTTAAACAGCTGGGTCAGAACATCTCCACATCTGCAGCTCAGCCAGACGTTCCTGGTCTGCAGAGGTCAGAACCAACCCAAACCGGTTCACAGAAGGAGAACCACAGAGCCAGAGACAGGGTTATGTGTCAGGTTGGCCCATGTTGTTCTGATCCAGTAGAGCTGCTGGAGCTGAAACGGTTCCTGCTGGGTCTGACAGAACGGTCTCAGAACCCAGAGTGTCTCCGTTTGTTGTGTTTGGTTCTGTGTAGCTTCAGATGGGTCAAGGTATCCATGCTGACCTGGGCCCCCTGCCAAAGCTCCTACAGTGGATCAGAACTGGACCACAGAGAAACAGAAGGTGTTCTGGTCTGATGGATCATATTTTCATCAACTGGATGGTCGGGTCCATTTGTCTCTTACTGGGAGAAGAAGCAATACCAAGATGCATTATGGGAAAATGTATGGGGGGGGGGTGTGATTTGAACAAATATCGGCTGGAAAACATTGGATACAGCTGTTCATGACTGTTCTTTGACCCGTAGAACTTCCTTAAAATTATTCCTGATCCAGGAAGTCCACAGGAAACCTTCGGTCTTCTGAATGTCTGTGAAGACAAACATCTATTAAACTGTTACCAAATAAGAACCAACCAAACAAAAGATAACGTTCATTCTTCTCTCTCCTCCTTACACAGAAACATGGTTCCCTCCAACCTGATCGAAGCCACCTTTCAGCAGGTACCGACCCAAAAATCTAAGGTTCTGTTCGTTATCCACGCCTTCCTTTCTTTAACAACCAGTCTCTCTCTGTTTAGTACAAAACGGACCTGATCCCGATCCTCAAGGTTCCAACCAGAACCATCCAGCCCAACTTTGTGTATGTTGTCCCTGATGACAGCGACCCCAAAGGTCAGATGGTGTACCTGGAGCTGACTCCGCCCCCAGACATCATCTACAAGACAAGTCCTGGTAGCAGTCAGCAGATGAACGTCCTCGGGATCGTCATTTTCTCTGCCACCATGGGTGAGTTTGGATCACCCATAATTGCTGTTCTGTTTCCAGCAGGGCAGTAATCACCATGGCAACTGGTGACTGCAGCTTCTGGGTCTTCTATATTACCCAGCATGCTTTTCTTCCACCGCTGTTTCCATCATGGCCGCCCCCATAGATCCTATAGAATCACAGGCTCCAGGTTGTCTCGAATCAGAGCTTTGACTTTCAGGAGGATTCAGTGAGAGGGTCGGCAGGAAACAGGAAGAAGACTGAACCTGAAGTTTCAAAGCAAAAGTCATTCAAAGTCTTCAAAATAAATCACTTGGTTCCATCACAGATCAAACTATCAAAAGTTTATGGGTTGTAAACACGTTTTGGATTTCAGAGATCAATAAATGTTCAAATTTCACCCTTCAACATTTCTCAAGTTCAAGTGGTACATGAGGTGGAACGAATTTATGTACACAAGGTCCCAGTTACACCCAACAATAGCAAACATATAAAGTGTAAAAAGAAACAGTAAATAAGGATCTAAGATATAAACTAAGATGAACTAATAGTGCAAAACAATACACCGAACAGCAGCACGAACATGAGTCTTTGTGGGTGGATGACTACGAATGAAATACAGCAGCATGAGATCAGCAGCATGAAATAAATCAGCAGCATGAGATCAGCAGCATGGATAACCAACAGCACATATCACCAATCAAAGTGTCATCACAGTGATTATTCTAGTTAGAGATTCATGAGTCTAACAGCCTCAGGGTAGAAGCTGTTCCTCAGTCTAGTGGTTCTACACTTAACGCTCCTCAACCTCCTTCCTGAGGGGAGCAGGGCAAAAAGTGTGTGTGCTGGGTGAGTGTGGTCCTTCATGATGCAGGTGGTCCTCTTCCTGCATCTGGAGGTGTAGATGTCTGTGATGGTGGGGAGGCTGATTCCAACAGATTTCTGTGCAGCCTTCACCACTCTCTGCAAAGCTTTTCTTTCTGCAGCTGTGCAGCCTCCATGCCACACGTTGATGCTGGAGCACAGGATGCTCTCCACTGCACACCTGTAGAAGGAGGTGAGGACTGAGCTGTGCAGTGACATTGCAGAAACAAGATCATTTTTAAATATTTCTAAAGTTTTGTTTGTTCTTTTTTTTTTTCCTTTCTGTACTCCGGTGAAGTCAGACGTGTCTCCCAGCGTACCGTACAACTCCCGTTTCCCTGCTTGCACTCTTTTTCTTGTGAACCTTTAAAAAGTCTCTTTTTTTTCTGCATACCTCTTAATTCGAAGGTTCAGCTGGTCTCTCAACAAAATTGATCATCTTCTCCTGACAGGAGTCAGGGTAAGGAGGACCCTCTTACCTTGACGGAAACAAATTGGATTCATGATGACAAATGGTTTTTTGCTGTTTGGCTGGTGAATTGTGGATTGTCTACAAATTCTTGTGGATGTGTCGAAACTCGACAGCACTCAGACTGAATTATGTGGAGCTGCGTCAGAGTTGGAGCAGCTGTTATCAGGACTGTGAACTCTCTAACAGCACACATGAAGGTGGGAATAATCTTGGAGAACTGTGAGCTCGACTTTAAGGAATCAATTCAGCTGTTTGGAGTTTCCATCAGAGGAATAAATACCAGCGAGACTTTAAAAGGCAGAAACAGCAATTCACGAGTTCTGCCTGACCCAAACTGTGGCCTTGACGCCAGACTTATCTCAACTCCTCCTGGCATCCAACATTTTTCAGTCAGGTCATCTGGACAGTTTATTTTTTTGTGCTGCAACGTTTCGCCTTCGATCCAGAAGGCTTCATCAGTCAAGGAAACGCACAACAAAACTGAAACGTTTCAGCACAAAAAAAGAAACTGTCCGGATGGCCTGACTGAAAAATGTTGGATTGTATACCTGGATTATTGAGCATGGACTTTGTTGTTTCCTCCTAGCATGTTTTGAAAAAAAAAAAATATATATATATATGCTTTCTGTCTCCTCACCCCCTCCCTTCCCCAAGGCTGTGGACATATGACGGAACCTCAACCGAGCTGATGGTTACAAACACGTCTTATCTGGACAATATCTGAGAGGGGCTCTGGACTATACTACGACTTTCCCTTAAAAATTCAATGTCTTCACCGACTATATGTTCATGTATCACGTCTATTTATGTTGCTTTGCTGTGGTAGGTTTTTTTGATGCCTCAAATCGTGCCCTGTCTAGGACACGGAGTGAGAGATCTTTTTTTTTATACCATCTCTCATGTTTTCTTCCTTTTTCTCATCGAAGCAAAAATATTATTCTGAATAAGAATAAGAGGGCCGCACTTTCATAGTTGGAGCTTCGTGCACTCCGCACATCTTTCGGACAACTGTACATACATGTTCTCGTTGTATCGCGGTGCAATGATAATAAAGTTTATTCTGATTCTGATAATAAACAGGTGTGCATTTGGGCAACACTTGGGCGTGTGTTTAACCAACACACAAGTGTGTGTTTAACCAACACACAAGTGTGTGTTTGACCGACACAAACGTGTGTGTTTGACCGACACACAGGTATGTGTTTAACCAACACACAAGTGTGTGTTTGACCGTCAAACAGGTGTGTGTTTGACCGACACACAGG